GGCGCCACGGGGGGGCTCTCACGTGGTGCGGCGGGGGCCCGATCCTGCCCGGGGGCTGCGCAGCGTCCCGCGGGGCCGGGGACACCCTGGGGACACCCCGGCCCGGTGGGCGGCCAGGGGCCCCGAGCCACCGCCCCATGCCACGTGCCCCCGCCCCAGGTGTCCCCTGGCCGCGTGTCCCCACGCCAAGTGACCCAACGCCAGGTGTCCCCACCCCAGGTGTCCCCATGCCAAGCATCTCCATGCCAAGCGTCCCCTTGCCGTGTGTCCCCATACCGAGTGTCCCCACCCCAGCTGTCCCCTTGCCGTGTGTCCCCATACCAGGCATCTCCATGCCAAGTGTCCCCACGCCAGGTCCCCGTACCAGGTGACCCAACGCCAGGTGTCCCCTTGCCAAGCATCTCCTTACCAAGTGTCCCCTTGACATATGTCCCCATACCAGGCATTTCCATGCCAAGTGTCCCCTTGTCGTGTGTCCCCTTGCCGTGTGTCCCCATGCCAGGTGTCCCCTTGCCAGGTGTCTCCATGCCAAGCATCTCCATACCAAGTGTCCCCTTGACATGTGCCCCCATACCAAGTGTCCCCATACCAAGTGTCCCCATGCCAAGCATCTCCACGCCAAGTGTCCCCACGCCAGGTCCCCATACCAAGTGACCCAACGCCAGGTGTCCCCGTGCCAAGCATCTCCATACCAAGGGTCCCCTTGACATGCGTCCCCCTACCAGATGTCACCTTGCCAAGCATCTCCATGCCAAATGTCCCCAAGCCATGTGTCCCCACGCCAAGCAGAGCCCCACAGGGTCCCAGGCCTCCCCCAGCCCCTGTGGGCGCTCAGGCCAGGGGACAGCAGTGTCACCCGGCAGTGAGCAACGCCAGAGGGTGGGAGAGGGTGGTGGGCAGTCCCAGGGGGTGGCCCCATGGGGGACCAGGCTGGCCTGGATGGGAACAGGCACGGGCAGGGGACACAGCGGGTATGGGATGGGCATGGCCGGGGGACATGGTGCCCGTCACTGCCTTATCCCCGGGGACTTCATAGGACACAGGAGAAAGCGTGACAGCTCCAAGTGACGGCATTTAATGTGCTCTTGTGGGGTGGGGACGGGGACATGTGCCAGGCGGGATGGGGACAAGGATGTGGGACAGCCTGAGCCCAGTGGGATGGGGCTGGGGGCCATTGGGATGGGCATCACGGGATGGGGACAGGGCTATTGGGATGGGGACAGCCGCACCCTTGTCTCCCTGCCTCAGTTTCCCCAGGAGAGCCCGTCTTGGCTGGGGACAGCGTGGCAGGGAGGGAGGTGACATGCCCAGGCTCCTGGGGTGACACCAGACCCCTTGCCTAGGGGTCCGGCGGGTGCTGCCCGTCCCCCTTGGCCTCACAGCCCGTGTCCCTAGCCTGGCTCACGGTGGCCACCTCCTGTCCCCGAAGGCGCGGGGGGCTGGCACAGAGGGTGTTGCGGGCGGCGGTGAGCGGGGGGCCCCCCTGCCGCAGCAGCGCCAGCAGCGGGCACTCGCAGGCCCAGGGGTTGCCCGAAATGTCGAGGTCCAACGTGGGGCCGGGGGGCCGGGGGGGCAGCTCCAGTGCCCGCAACCGGTTACGCGCCAGGTCGAGGACGCGGAGATGACGGAGGGGGACGAAGATGCCGGCGGGCAGCGCCCGCAGCTCGTTATCCTGGAGGAAGAGGAGGCGCAGGGCAGGCACGGGCGCGAAGGGGGCAGCCGGCAGGGCAGCGTGCCCAGCCGGTTCCCCTCCAGGTCGAGCTGCTCCAGCGCCCGCAGCCCGTCCAGCGTGCCCGGCGCCAGGGATGCCAGGCGGTTGTGGGACAGATCCAGGGTACGTAGCGAACGCAGCGGGCGGAAAACCGCCGGTGGCACCTCCGCCAACGCGTTGGCAGCCAGGTTGAGCCAGAGCAGCTGGGGAAGGTGCTGGAACCAGGCAGCCTGCAGCGCCCGCAGCCGGTTCCCCCGCAGCACCAAGTGCTGGAGGTGGCCAGCGGTGGCGAAGATGCCGGCGGGGAGGTTGGCCAGGAGGTTGTCCGTCAGGTCGAGGACGCGCAGGGTGGGCACGGGGCGCAGGAGGGCTTCAGGGAGGATGGCGAGGCGGTTGGAGGAGAGGTGGAGCTCCTGCAGCTGGGGCAGCCCGGCCAGGGCGGTGGGCAGGAGGGTGGCCAGCGCCGTGAACTCCACTGAGATGGCGACGGTGGTGGGGGGGAGCCCGGAGGGGAAGGTGCTCAGAGTGGGCTCCGTGCAGATGAAATGGGTAGCATTGGGGTGGGGGGAGCACGGGGCGGCAGGGCCTGGCAGCAGCAGCAGCAGCAGCAGCGGAGGCAGGATCTGGCCCGGGGGCATCATGGGGCTGGGCTGCAGGCAGGGGGGCCACGTCCCC